TGTTCAAACAAATGAGCATAGTTATTTGCATATTAAACCAGCCATATTGAATATTACAGTCTTCTACTATCATATAAAGATAACTTAAATTTTGATGATGAGTTGCTTGATACTTGTATTGGGTTAGGAATTTAGATGGCTCTTTAATGTCATTAGAGATTTCATGTCATAGCTTCTAGGGTAGAGATCTTGTTGATTCTCTCTTTTGCAAGAGCACAGATTTGGTAATATTCCCTTAGAGCATTCACATTTATGTCATGAAATTTGATTGTGCTCTTGCTCAAATAAAATTTCATTATTGCCTTTGTCATTTTATGTTATTCAAGTATGATTATTACTTAAGTCAATGAGCTTCAAACTTAACTTAACTAAAGTCCAAGGCCTCAAATCATTCAACTCCAAGTGTATTATATATGTGATTTCTCATTAATCATTGTTTGAATAATCATGATTAGCACTTGATGTTTTGAGTATGAATTTTCATTTTCATTCATCTGCTCTTTTTATATGTGCAATTTCTTTCTCAGATGTAAGACTCAAATTCAATTTGCTCTCTTATATTCAAATTTCAATCTTGATTTTGTGAATGTCATATTGTTAATTATTCAATTAAGTGCCCATTTATATTGCAATTACGAGTCCTATGTATACCCTCCATATTAAAATTTTTATTCAAATTCGTCGAAATCATTTTTTTAGTCTATGTTCTTATGTCCCCTGCTGTCCAAAATAAAGTCCAATATTCATCAAGTCCTGAGTCTGAGTTCAAGTCAAAGTTCTTGTCCACCTTGTTTCAAGTATGAGTCCTCTTAGTCGATCCTTTTGCAAGTCCAAGTTCAGTTTTAATGCAAGTGCCAAAAGTTTGCAAGTCCTTGTCTTTTTCAGGACAAAATTTCGTGCAGCCTCCCGGCGTCTCCCCCGTTTAGGGAAAAGAACTAAGAGGCCGCCTACCCGCCACGTCAATAAAGACGTGCCACGGTTGGTGGTGTGGCTGAGGAGACACCGCGGTGGTTGTATTTTTTGTTTTCTCCCACAGACCAATAGCCCAATAAAGGCGTGCATGAGGTTTTATAAAAAAAAGTATTTTTGATAAGCAATTTGATTTGCCCCCAGCCTGGGGGTACTATAAAAGTGACCCCAGCTAGTTGCGCAACGTGCCGCAACGGGAATTTCCATCCTACACGGCCAATTAAAGGCGTGCTTAGCGACAGTTCCTCCAATATTGCCACGAATATTGAAGTAGGGTTTTGGTGATTTTCCCGCTTGTCGTAATGCATCAAAACCGGCCGTTCCTTCCCACCACGCTGCAATAAAAGGCGTGCATAGGCAGTTTTCCGGTCCGCTACGGAACAACAAAACGAGAAATCTGAGTTTGGAATTCATTACCTTCGCGGGGTTGATGAAGTCGTCGGAGCACAAAATAAAACAATTTCCTTCTTATTTCTCTTTTCTTTTTTTTTTGTAACTCTTTTCCTTCTCTTTTTTTTTTTGAAGTGCACACATTAGATTACTATATGACATAATTTACTATATACATATATTACTTAATATATTTACATATAATATCATATACATAACAGATAGTATAATTATATTATAAAAGATAATATAATTATATTATAAAAGATACATATACAGTAAAATTAGAAAGTTCTTGCTAATACAAGTATTTAAAGACTTTAACTTAACTGCTCAAAGACATTAATATTAACTTCATAATAAAGCCAATATGAACAATTAATAAACTCAACCCAAAATGGTAGGCAACTAATGACGTCAACCCCAAATATTAATATGAAAAGCAAATAATATAAGCCCCACTAATCATAAATCATGCTAATATAATTAATGTATAACATTAATTCATATCAGCTATGATATTAAGCAAAAATTATCGGAATCTGTATCCTTTTGTCCAATTTCTCAGCTTTTTTTTTTTTGAACTATGGGATAGTTTCATGTGCAGGAAATGTGTTTAGATTATGTTAGTAGAATAAATAAATAGCAGAACTTATTTAATGGCAAGTGGACAAAAATCTATGGCTTGGATTTTATAAAGAGAACAGCCACTATTGCAATGAATCCTCACGTGAAGGATAAATGGTTATATTTGTGTGAGAAGATGGAGCTTCTTGGACGGCAATACTTGTAGCTAATTGGAGGGAATCTGACCTAGTGGGCGCTGGATACAGAATTTCACTTGAAAAGATTAAGAAAGATAAGTCTTTAAAACCAGATTCTGCTACCTTTCTCTTGGAATCAAATGAGAGTGGAGAGAGGTCTCCCTGCTCTGTGAAGCCGTGAGCCTGAGAGGAAGAAGGAGGGATCGGGTAGAGCAACTTCTCGGCTGTATGAGCTGGAGTGGATTCGGGACTTGAGTGGCTTTCAGGTGCACGGAGCAGGTATTGATCTTGGCTTCAACAAGAGGTGAATAGGGATCTGGACGGAGTGGGCGTTGGATGTCCTTTACGAAATTTGAAAGGGACAGTGAAGGGAGGTCGTGAGGTTTACGGCTACAGCAAACCTGAGGTGGAATCGGTTGAGTGCTCATGCGAATGAACTGTAACAGACTAGCTGCTGGAAGGAAGAGGTTGCAAAAGAGTGATCGGTTGGCCTTGACTGGAGGAAAGAAGGCAGAAATCTGCTAGATCTTGTAAGTGAAGGCTTGGATCTGGATGAGAGTGTGGTATCAAAGGAGATTTTAGAGAGTGCTCTCTCGGCTGGGTGTGTGTGAAGGATAGAAACGAACCCAGAACCTCTAACAAGGCTTTGTTTGAGTCATTTTAACGACGGAACTTCATTCACCAGGGAGTGAATTATTTCACGGGATTTAAGGAATGTGCCGACGTCGCTCAGCAGGGATTTCCAGCCTAATTTGCGAGATTTAGGCAGAGTTTCGAGAGGCGATTCGAGGTAAAAATTAATTGTGATTTGAGGTTTCATTTTGACTTGTTGATTTTTGGTAAGATCAATTGGCCATGTTAATGATGCCATACCATAATTAGTAATAACATTAATTAGGTTCACAGCCATGTTCAAATCAATCTGGAAGCATCATGATTTGCGCGTTTTCTTGATTCGCGTGCATTTTTTTTGCCTCGTTTAACGTGTCGAATTCGCCAAATAGTCAAAATTAGACAAATTGATAGTGCATTTAAGGTATTGTCGATGTCCCGGTCGCAACAGCGTAGTCCATTTTGCGATCGGATGTCATTTGGGCGGCGACGAGGCTTAATTCCCTCAAAATGCGTGTTGTCTCGGTTTGCGCGTAAAACCTCATTCAAACAAATTGGCACTGCATTCGTAGTATTGACGGTGTTCCGGACCCAATGACATAGTCCATTTTGCGATCGAACATCATTTGATCATCGTCGAGGCTAATCTCACTCGAAATGCATGCCTTTGCAACATATTTGAATCGCCCCTTTTTAAAATTTGCGACACCACATCAAACGATCCAATTTGATTAAATAAAATGTATACTCTGAATGTCGACAATGTTCTGGATGCAATGTAGCTGTCCATTTATCAATCGGACTTCGTTCGAGCGTCTTCGAGGTCTCGTTTCAGTCGTAACGCAGGCCTTTATATCATATTTGTATCGCCTAGAAATTCACCAACATCTCAAGAAACTCAAATTTATTAAATAAAATGTATATTCTGAATATCAACGACTCTCCGGACGCAATGGTGTTGTCTGTTTATCAATCGGATGTCGTTCGAATATCGTCGATGCCTCATTTCCGTCGTAACGCAGGCCTTAATGTCATATTTGCATTGCCTAGAAATTCGCCACCATCTCAGATGATCCAAATTAATTAAATAAAATATATATTCTAAATGTAGACAACGTTCCGGACGCAATGACAATGTCCGTTTGTCGATCTGAAATCGTAGTCCGATGTCCTGATCGTAACGATGTCATCCGTTTAGCATTCGGAGGTCATTTGACCCCTTAAGTGACGTGTTTCATCAATGCACATATTGTTTTATTTATCAGTTTGAGTCCTTTCTCGCGTGATCTGATGTATAGGGGTCAACAAATGCCCCCCAACAAATGTGGTACGCGTCTAGAGCGAACCACGTTTGTTGTTTGCTGATTGACCCTATGGATCTCCAGATATTCATTCTAGATATCACACAAGGGTCCTATTTAGCGGATCTCCAAAAGCTTATTTGGATGTCACACCAGGGTTTCATTTTGTAGATCTCCGAGAGCCTGTTCGGATGTTACGCTAAGGTTTTTATTTAGCGGATCTCTATGAGCTTATTTGGATTTCACGCTGAGAAATTTTATTTTGTGGATCTCCAAAATTTTGTTTGGATGTCACACTAGGATGTTCATTTAATGGATCTTCAAAAATTTATTTGGATATCACATTAAGATTTTTTTTTAGTGGATCTCCTAAATTTTGTTTGGATGTCACACTAGGATGTTCATTTAATGGATCTCCAAAAATTTATTTGGATGTCACATTAAGATTTTTTTTTTAGTGGATCTCCAAAATTTTATTTGGATGTCACACTAGGATGTTCATTTAATGGATCTCCAAAAATTTGTTTGGATGTCACATTAAGATTTTGTTTTAGTGGATCTCCAAAATTTTGTTTGGATGTCATACTAGGATGTTCATTTAATGGATCTCCAAAAATTTGTTTGGATGTCACATTAAGATTTTTCTTTAGTGGATCTCCAAAATTTTGTTTGGATGTCACACTAGGATGTTCATTAGTGGATCTCCAAAAATTTATTTGGATGTCACACTAATTTTCTTTCTCCACTGCTCTTTTAGACATGTCTATAGATGGTTGATATCTTGTCTTTATAAATTGATGCTAGTGGAAATCATGTGCTGAAGATTCTTCTATCATCTGGTTGTATTTTGATAAAATTTTAAATATTTATTTGGGGATATCGACATGCGGGATGATGTCGACCCAAATAAATATTTAAAATTCCCCCAGTCTTTAGGGACATTTGTAGATGTCATCCAGGGTACTCATTCTGCGGTCTTGGCCTGAGTCTTGAGATTTTGATCCTTCTGTCCTGTGCTTTGTGCTGCGGACTTGGTGCACAAAGAGAAGAGATTACTACTACGTTCAGGTACTATCACTGATCTGAACCTGGCAAATCCTTCAACAGAATCCGTAAAACCACTAAGAAGCAGGATCAAAGCGAACCTTTCTCACAAGATCCACCAAAGCACAAAGCATAGGGCCGAAGAAAATTAATCCAAAGTTCATGAAAAGCCGCAAGGCTGGAACTAAGTGGATTCTGTCATCAATAAGTCCGTTATGCATAAAGATCTGGACTGATGACTTTTCCGCCACTGAGCCTAGTACAAACCTAAGAGTTTAGGTCACCATACGCATCTACCCTATCTCAAGCCCGCAAAGCTAGAAGCAAAGGGCAGAAGGTTATACAAATTTTTTGAAAGTCACCAAAGATAAATCTAGACAACCCTT